TGCAGCAGGAGCAAAGGTGACAATCCTGCCACCACAGAGCTTTCATCACCTACACACATTTTATGTGCGATCATGCATAAATAATAATTTTAACCTTCTGAAGTCCCAATAATAAGGCTTGATTCAGAAATCATCAAATATAACTCTATAATTCTAGACTAATGACTTGTCCTGTAACATGATAGTTCTTAGTAGTTCATGGTATTTGTCCAGAAGTTTTGTTGATATTTTGTTTGTTTCAGAGACAGGCCTCACTATGTAGCACTGGCTGGCCTGAAGTCTCTATGTAGACCAGGCTGGTCTAGACCTCACAGAGATTACCCACCTCTGCCTGCTGCTAATGCTATCAGTTTCCTAGTAGCCTGCCCTGGCTTCTTGGTCCTCTCCAACTAGTTTGCTGACAACGACTCAACTTGAGATGGTCACGTGGCAACAAGCTAGGTATTCACAGCACAAGGGCTATCTTCACTCTGAGGGGGTCTCTAGAGTGGGGCAGAATAAAACTGTTAGGTACACACTTCTAAGGCAACAACTCTAGCTTTATGGATTAAAGAGACAGTTCTGAAGTTTCTTTGGAGCTTAAATAAACAAAACTGTGCTTCAAAATCTAATCTACAAACTTTTCTTTAAGCTAAAACAGCTAACTAACTCTCTCCTACTGAGACCTTCAAATAGCAAAAGCTCTCAAAATAGGACTTCTAAAGCAAACCAACAGGGTAAGGACACCTGGCTGTTCCAAAGGCTCTGGGTTTGATTCCCAGGACCGACATGGCAACTCACAACCACCTTGTAATCTCTCTGGCCAAACAAAAGAGTACCAGGTGTGCACATGGTATATAGAAATACATGTGGCCAAAACATACATGCCCACAAATTAAATTCTTAAAAATTAAAAAAAGAACCAAATCAACAATTAGTAATTTTCTAGCAAATGACTTTTAAAATGCTAGCTGGAAATGGTAGCAGGCTTGTAATCCTAGCACTTGGGAGGTGGGAGGAGGATCAGGAATTCAAGGTGATCCCCCGTCTGCACAGTAAATTCCTCTGAGATTAGCCCTTGTCTCAAAAATCTAAGAAACAAAACAAAACACTAGATAACATCAAGAGAGCAAGACTATACAATAGTTTTAAGGTAGTGAAATAGTTTCCAAAATAATGCTAATAAAGTTATTGGGCTGGAGATAGCTCAGTAGTTAAAGTATTTACTACTCTTGCAGACAGCCTGGGTTCAGTTACCAACACCAACATGGCAGTTCACAAACAACAGTAACTCTGGTTTCAAGGCATCTGATTCCCTCTTCTAATTCCTTCAGTCCTGTACTCATTATACCCAGGCACACACATATATACATAAAGTAAGTATTAAAAATTCTTCAGAGGCTGGAGAGATGACTCAGTTAAGAACAATGGCTGCTCTTCTCCTCCAACATCTACACGGTAAATTGTTTTGTTTTTTTCAAGACAAGGTTTCTCTGTGTAGCTCTGGATGTCCTGGAACTCACACTGGAGACCAGGCTGGCCCGACCTCAGAGATCCGCCAGCCTCTGCCTCCCGAGTGCTGGGATTAAAGGCGTGCACCACCAGTGTGCAGCCCAGCAATATCTACTTTTCACTCCTGTATACCAAGCATCACTATTATGACAACTATAGAGAAACAATGAAGTGTCCACGTTTTAAACACCTAAAATTATGTCAATGCTTTTCTTGAAGTCTGCCGCACCTGAGATACAAACGTGTTGGAAAATGAATCTTTTCCTTCACTCTTTAGCTGCAGAGGTATGTTAACTCATAAGCTGTTTCAACATCATGTATCTTCTGTCAGCTAACAAAGAATTGGACTAGTTCAGGGGCTAGCCACCCAGACAGACATGGAGTAAGAAGGAAAGAAAAGGTATACAGGAATAGAAAAACATAAAAGCCCCAAGGCCAAAGATAGATAGGATAATTTAAGAAAAGCTGGCAAGAAACAAGCCAAGCTACAGTTAGGCATTTCTAGGTAGTAATAAGCTTTTGTGTGTGTATGATTTATTTGGGAGTTGGGTGGTGGGGCCCCTCAAAAGAGCCTAGAGAGTAAAGAGTAAAAAACAACCAACAACATTTTCCTCTCTCGTCCTTTTCTTGTTCCTTCTCCTTCCAGATTTCTCCTAACGTTTATCCTCTCTGCCCGCCAGCCCCGCCTATTTCTTTCCCCTTGTTATTGGCCATCCAGCTCTTTAAAGACCATCAGGTGTTTTAGACAGGCACAGTAACACAGCTCCACAACATAACCAAAAGTAACACACCTTAAGATAATATTCCCCAATACACAGTGACTTAAAAGTGAGAAAAATCATATTTGGTGAAAACTGCCTCGGTATGGAAAACTCAATTATTCTCCATAATCTACTACTTGCTAGTTAGGAGTCAGGCTAAAGGCTTTAAGCCAGTGTGTTCCCTACACGAGCATGAGTGTTTTAATTTAAACAGGCTACTGCTTTGTGCAGAAGAACTAGCTGGACAAATGGACTGTAATATGCAATCAAATAGTAATTTAGAAACTCAACTTTACTTTGGCTATTAGCCCAAGATGCTCAAGTTTTTTTTTTCCAACCTAAACCTCAACAATAAAAAAAAATCAATAAAGGAGCATACACTTAGTAAGAATAAGCCTACATTTGACAACTGTCACCTACAGTACCCTCAGAAGGACAAGTAACGATTCTCTAAAACTCTGTTTCCTGATTAGAGAAGATACAAATGAATAACTGATATAAAAGTACCCAAATTTATCAGCACCTTACTCTGGGCCAAGCACTAGACTAGGGACATTTTCAAGTTATCACACCTTTTTTGTCTTCCTAGAAACTTGAGGAAACCATGTCCCTTGGTCTTCAGTGCCCTGAGTGATGACCGTTGTTAGCAGTGTGTAGTGTGTGTTGTTTGCTACACTGCTCAGGTTAGCGTCTAACAACTTTCCCACCTCTACCTCTAAGTGGCTAAACTACAAACAGATGCTAGCACAAAGAGCTGGGAGGCAGGTGGCCAGGGAATATACGAGTATCAGGTGGTAAGACTGATTAGAAACCGAAGGATTTCTGCGCCATATCTAGGTGTTTAGGGAAAACCAGGATGTGCCATGAAAATATACAAGACTCTTTCAAAAGACAGGAAAGAAAGACCAGAAACAAAGGGGGGGGGGGTATTAAGCTATTTGCCTAGCATGAGCAAAGCCCCCAAAAGCCTGCCTGAAATTATGCATATATTTATATATTTACATATATGTAAATATATATAAATGGTGACTCCTAGCTGGGCAAGGAGCACAGGCCCTTAATCCTATCAGGAGCATGAACTCAGTGAGTTCATGGTTAGTCTTGTATACATAAGCAAGTTCCAGGCCAACCAGGCCACATAGTGAAACCCTATCTCAAAAAGAGTGATGATTCCCAAATACAGTACACCAACAACTGCAGAAATACTGCTTGGACTACCTGTGTTCAAACACGGCTGAGGCATTTCCAAGATGAGATATTTCAAGAAGCTATTTTAGTAAGGAATAGGCTGTTTCAACTTCTAAAATAATCCTGCAATTAAAACAAAACTAACCTTACTGGGATTCTCAAATGAAAACCCAGAGATAGTATTATTTTCTTCTTTCTCAGAAAGACACCTTACAAGGGCATTAATTTTTTTCCACGGTCACATGTATAAGTTTACACTGTATATAGTAATTTTTAAATAGAGCTTTAAAAGGGGGGGCTTGCTTTGCATAATTTGGTTTAGTAAGTCCCGAGACTCGATGCCAAATCCTTTCCCAAGAAATTGCATGCACCAAGTAAAGAACATTTGAAAATAAGGTCATCGCCATTTTCTAAATATTTACATTTTAATTCAATACAGACAGCTCGATGTTAAAGCTTAAGCAGGCGAATATGAAAATGACTTGAATTACAAACAGAAGCGGTAGGATGTGCACTGAGACCGGCTAACAGCAAAACCGGAAGAAAAAGAAGACAAGTATATCGTCATACTACATACAATGAAAAGGGGTCAACGAATCCAGGTTAAAATAGGAAACAAACAGAAAGACAGTCAGTTTCACACACGGACACACACGAAAGTAGAATGAGGAAAGACCAAAATATTTTGGGAGCACCAACCCAGGAAAGGACTGCTTTCACGCCGCCCGTCTGCTACCATTTTACACCAACCTTTCTCGCCACCTCTAGGTTTGAAATTTGCAGCGGCATTTAAGGCCGTCCTTCCTAACATTACCACATTCTCAACAGCGAACCTTACACAAAGTCAAGCACCAGCCATGTATTCCTACCGCCAAGGGGACAACGAGCAAAAAATTAAACCTTTCTTTCTCCCATATATAGCCTTCACCATCGTCTTCCCTCTTTTATTCGCTGCCCTTGTCTCGGGATTAACAAACCCTAAACGACTTCTCCCCACTAATGGAAATGGAAAAAAAGAGGGGAGAACAACGGCAGAGTGGAACCCCAGACCGTAGGAAAAACTGGAAACTGAAAGCAGCGGCCTCCCGCTCGGGACCGGGGAACACCCTGGAGGTGGAGTCCCGGAAGACCCGGGTTCACACGCTTCACCCCCAGGCCGCTCGGCTAGCAGCGCGCGAGTGCCCGAGCGTGTGCGCGATCTCCGCCGGCGGAGGAGGCGGCCACCTCCCCGGCCCGCCCGCCCGCCCGCCCTCCCGGGACCCGGAGACGACCGGCTTCGGGGGCCAAGTCCGAGCGCGGCGAGGCCCGGAAAGCGTCCCGTTAGGGCCGATTTCACCCGTCAGGAATGCGCTCCGCCCCCGCCGCCTCCCCGCGGCGCTCGCCCTCGGGTCTCGCCCGCTCGCCCGCCCGGGGCAGCGCCGCGGGGAGTTCCACCACCGTCGGGGCCGCGGACCGCACGCCCCGGGGACAGCCGCGCACGCCTCCCGGCCCCGTTCCGAGGCCCGAGCGGCGCCCCGAATCCCCCGCGTCCCTAAGGGAGGCGCCCGGCCCCCGCCGTACCTCAGCTCCTCAGGGCGGCGGGCGAGCAGGCCCCATCCCGCGGAGGCACCAGCCTTGAGGGAGGACGGAGGACGGCCCGGCCCTCAGCCCCGCCGCGGAACCGTCTCGGCTAGGGCAAGAGCTACCGGTGGAAGCGTAGCGGCCGGCCGCTTTCCCGAACTCCCCTCGGTGACTCCAGCCGGACCGACGCAGCCGGGGACCAGCAGCGCAACTGCCATTCTCCCCCGCCCTCGCCCCTGTTGGCCCCGCCCCCACCTCCCACTCCGGCCCCGCCCGGCGTGGCCCCGCCCGGTGCGCACCCTGCGTCCTGACGTCACCCCCTCCCCGGCGCCGCCGCCACTGCCGGTTGCCTCCGGGACGCAGTGGTTCGTAGGCTCGCTTACGTTCGCCTCGCGCCGCGCGCTCTCGCCGGTGAGCCCTGGACTTTGGGGCGGGCGACGCCCCTCTGGTCACCCGGACCTCTTCTCGCTCGAGTGGGGGACGGCGGGAGCCACGCCCCAGGCGGAGTGCGACCCTGACTCGGCGCTTGACTGCCTTCCGCCCCGTTGTTTCTCACGGTTCACCTGCCTGTTTGGCAGCCCTCCTCCCGAGAGCCGAGCCCAGCAGGGCGTGGAGGTTGGTCCCTGCTGCTCTCGGTCCCCCGGGAAGTGTTTCAGCCCTGATCGATCTCTGATGAATTCAACCTTACTTTAATCCGGCCTGTGCGTTCCATTTTCCATCTTTAATCTCAGTCAGACCCTCTCTGAATTTTTCATCAATTCAAGACTTGGTATAGATTTCTTAGATCCTTTTCCAGTTCCAATCCCATCCTTTCCTTGTTTATTTCTTCTGAGTATTTAGATCATTTCCTTAGAATACTGAGACGTGGATGCCAAAATGTTCATCCACCATCTGTTACTTATTCTAAATATATCACTTTCGATCCCTATTTCAGTGCGTCTAAATTAGAAGCTAACCAAGGACCCGTATCTTTTCAAACCCCACTTGGCATCTTTGGTAACCAGTAAATTTTTCCCAGTTAGAGACAGGCTAGGCAGTTTAGGGTTCACTATCTTTGACCACACGTCTTAAAGGAAGTAATTTTGAATATGATTTTCATTTGTTAGAAGTTGAGAGCCATTATGTGTCCACCTTTAAGTGCTACCTGAAGACTGTATGCAATGTGTGATAATCTACTGGACACTTTGAACCTTTGAATAATGCAAGAATGGCTTTGTCGTGTAGAGAGGGCAATGACTAGGAAGGGTTTTGAGTTGTGCAAAATAACAGTAGTCTTGCACTCAGGATAGTCATCATAGTTCCCAGAGAATCAATTCCTTTCTCTCTTCCTAGAAATTGAAAGGATGCTCTATTCCTCACTAGGCCAACATGCATCTATTAAGAAAGAGATAAGTGTTGGACATCTCCACTTGACTCTATGGGGGCTCCTTGTGCTGAGTAGTTTTATGCCAACTTGACACAAGCTAGTTATTTGAGGGGCAGGATCCCCAGTTAAGAAAGTGCCTCCATAACATCAGGGCTGTAGGCATTTTCTTAATTAGTGGTTGTTGGAGGAGGGCCCAGCCCATTATGGATAGTTCTATCCCTGGGCTAGTGGTCCTGGTGTCTATAGACCAGAAAGCAGGCTGGGCAAGCCATAAAGAGCAAGCCAGTAAGCAGCACCCCTCCATGGCCTCTGCATCAGCTCCTGCTTCCAGGAGACTGCCCTGTTTGAGTTCCTGCCCTGACTTCTTTTGCTGATGAACAGCGATGTGGAAGTGTAAACCCCAAGTAAGCTCTTTCCTTCCCCAACTTGGTTTTTGGCCATGTTGGTTCGTTGTAGTCATAGAAACCCTAACAAAGACACATCTGTAGCTCAAGTCTGTCTGAAATAGCACAGAGATTTATCTAAAACAAACAAAACTCACGCCTTTCATTCCGCCAGGCCCATGCCAGAAATCTAGAATTCTTCACAGACCTTCCTGCAGCCACTTTTACTAAGTCCGACCTACTGTGCCCTCTAACATCCCTCCCTTTCTTCTCTCTGCTATATACCCTTTGCCTTTAGGGCAATCACGTCAAGTTTGGCTGCCTCCCACAAACTTGGGGAAATTCAGATGCCTGGGCTGCACCTAGTGAAGGTGGTTCTGGGTGGCTATGCATTTTTTAAAGTCCAGATGATACCATGTTCACTGGAAAATGAAAGCCACTGCTACAACCTCGCCATTTCTCCTTGCATTAATGCAGAGAACCATCTTGGTCCTAGGTATATTTTTGCTGTCCTGCCCCTAATTTCTCCATTGTAATTCATTCAACATTGGTTCAAGAAGTATTTTGGTGTATACTAAATTTAGAGGAAATGTTTGCCCTGAGGATGAAGCATATAGCCAATGTGTTTGTCCTAATGGAATTCATATCAGAGGGTGGGGATGGTGGATAGTGAAAAACAGAAAGGAATTTTCCAGAGAGTTATGGTTTGAATGAGAATACTCCCCATAGGCTCATATGTTAGAATAGTTGATCCCCAGTTGGAGGAACTGTTTGGGGAGAAGAAAGAGGTGTGGCCTTGTTGGAGGAAGTCTGTCAAGGGCCAGTAGGTTATCTCTCTCTACCTGTTGGTTGGGAAGTCAGGACCGAGAGGGGTGCGCCCACCCACTGAGATGGCAGAGCTGATCTAACCAAGGCCAGCTGGACTGGGAATGATGGAGCATGTGATCAAACTGGACTCTCTGAACGTGGTGGACAAGGAGGGCTGACTGGGACAATGGCACTGGGTTTTGATCCTACTGCATGTACTGGCTTTGTGGGAGCCTAGTCTGTTTGGATGTTCACCTTCCTAGACCTGGATGGAGGGGGGGAGGACCTTGGACTGCCCACAGGGCAGGGAACCCTGACTGCTCTTTGGGCTGGAGAGGGAGGAGGAGGGGATTGGGGCAAGGGAGGAAATGGGAGGAGGGGAGGAGGTGGAAATTTAAAAAAATAAATAAATAAATAAATAAATGAAAAAAGAAGAAGTGATACTTAGCTGTTACTCCACCATCATGGACTCTAGCCCTCTGAAACTGTAAACCCAATTGATTTACATCCTCAAGAGAAACTAGGAGAAAAAAATAGATTTTCTTTCCTTAATTGTCCCAGTCATGGTGTTTTGTCCTCATAGCAATAGGAACATAACTAAGACACAAAGTAACAGGACTAAAAAGTATCAAGCCCAATATTTTACTTTGTTCTCTCAAACTAAAGCCAACGCTTCTGCTGTTTGAGCTGGGTTCTGCAAGGCAAGAAGCAAAGGAGGTGGTGGATGCTTGAGAACCAGCGGGTGGGTGGGCCTGGCAAAAAAAAAAAAAAACTTGCCAAGTTCCCGGCAAATAGAGGCTGAAGCAGGTGAACAAGAGGAAGGAGTTGTGAGGGAAGAGATGGAAACTCTGGATGTGATAAAGGGGGTACTAAATGATTTCCATGTCTCAATAGATTTTATAACAGTAGACAGCGTCTGTTCGGATTAGAAACCTACCCCTGGCTATTCTGTGGACCAGACTTTGGTGATCAACACTGGAAGCAGTAAGACTATTTTATCTGAAAGGCTGTCGAAGCAATCCAATAAAGAAGCCATAGCTCTAACCAGGCTGAGACTGTGGGAACAGACATGGATGGTTTGCATACTTGTCTTGGGGTATAATTGGTAAGGCCTGCGTGGAATGCAATAAAAGTGGGGAATGAGCGAGAGAAGAGTGGGACTAAATAGCAGCTGCTCCTGTTGGGTGAATCCTACATGACAAGCCCTGCTCTGTTTTATTAGCATTAACCATCTAATTATCACAAGGCCCCACAGATAGGTGTTGATATCAACAACAGATCAACAAATGAGAGTCTGAGGCTCAAGAGATTAAGTAATTCGATCAGTTACATGACTGGTAGTAACAGAGCTGAGATTTAGGGCATCGGGCTGCTGCCACACACCTATCCCAAGTCCCTCCACCAGAATCACAGTCTAGGTGACATTTTCCTCAGCTAATTACCCTTGTAGTACCACAAATCCTCCCTTCTTCTCTTCCCTGTCTCCTTCCCACCCTCCCCTTCTTTTTAGGCACCACCTAACTTTGTAGGTGCCACTCTGCCTCATGCTCCCGCCCCTCCCCTCTGCCTGGCCCCATCTGCCAATCTCCACTGGTCCTTGCTGTGTAAGTCAAGCCTATCTGGTTACATGGCAACCCCGTGCTCATGTCTGATTTTCCACACAAGACACTACATTATTACTTTCGGGTCTTTCCCACTAAATTTAGACGCCTGGCATCAGGGAAAGAAGGAAGCAAATAAGATTAGCTGTGAACACAAGACACACCCAGAGAGACACCAGTGTCTCGTCCCTGCCCTCGAGCCATTATAAACTTGGCAGAGAAAGGACACACAGAAAATCACTCCAGCCAAGCGTGGGCACACACACCTTCAATCCCAGTACTCTGGAGGCCAAGGCAGGTGGATCTCGGTGACAGTGAAGCCAGCCTGGTCTACGGAGAGAGGCCCTGTCTCTGGCTAAAACAGGACAAAGAGAGTCACTCTAACCTGGTGTGGTGGCGAACTGCCATCCCTGCACTGGGGAGGCTGAAGCTGAGGTGGGAGGATTGTGCATTTGAGGCCAGCCTGGGCTATGTAGCAAGTTCAAACCCAGTCTGGGCTGAATAACAAGACCCTATCTCAAAAACAAAATAATTAGCTAATTTAAAGGTCAGGTTTAATTCAAGAGCCCAAAGTATGATATAAAGAACACTATAGAAACATTAATTCTATCTGAGGTCACTAGAGATCAAGAGGTGACCTTGCACCTCTGACTTCACCTCCTTGTGGGGGCTATACTATCTATAGGCCCGTACTTTCCAGTCTTGTGTCAGGGATTAAACTCAGGACCCTTACCTCTCGTGCAAGCACTTCACCAAATCACTCACATCCCCAGCTTCCAGAAGCTTGGTCTCAGGGTTGTTTCCTGGGGCAGGGGGACGAGGAATGCAAGCAAGAATGGCGGGCAACTCAGGCTTGGTTCTCCATTGGCGTCCACAGGACACAAAGAGGTTGTCTTGGCCCTCTGCTTTCCAGAAAGACACGGGAGACTCTTGACTGGCACAGCGGATCACTGCCATGTGCTTTCTCACGCTTGCTCGTGTTTCTACCTAGCTGCTTTTCCAGACTGTCTCAGCTGTCTTCCCATCAGAGTCTAGAAGTTTCTTCTTACACCGTCCCCCCCCCCCCTTG